ATCAGGTTCAGTGTATTTGGATTTATGTTGAGGTCTTTGATCCACTTGGACTTACTTGAGTTTTGTGCAGGGTGATAGATATGGATCAATTTGCATTCTTCTACATACTGAGAGCCAGTTGGACCAGCACCATTTGTTGAAGATGCTTCCTTTTTTCCATTGTATATTTCTGGCTTCTTTATCAAAAAACAAGTGTCCATAGGTGTGTGGATTTACATCTTGGTCTTTGATTCAATTCCATTGATCATAGTGTCTGTTTTTATGCCAATACCATGCAGGTTTATTACTACAGCTCTGTAGCACAGCTTGAAATCAGGGATGGCAATACCTCTGGAAGTTCTTTTATTGTAGAGGATTGTTTTAGCTATCTTGGGTTTTTTGTTTTTCCATATGAAATTGAATATTGTCACAGTCTGTAAAGAATTGTGTTGGAATTTTGATGGGGATTGCATTGAATCTGTAGATTGCTTTTGGTAGGAGGGCTATTTTTACTATGTTAATCATACTGATCCATGAACATGAGATATCATTTCCTCTTCTGACATCTTCTTCAATTTCCTTCTTTAAAGACTTGAAGTTTTTATCATACAGGTATTCCACTTGCTTAGAAAGACAGACAGTATGTACTTGCTTATAAGTGGATATTGGCTGTAAAGTAAAAGATAGTCATACTATGGTCCACAGACCCAGAGAGGTTAAGTAATGAGGGAATAAGGAGGTACATAAGGGTCTCCATGGGAAGGGGAAATAGAATAAATTCCGGGTGTGGCCTGAGATTGGGTGGGGTTGGGAACAGGAGGGTTCAACTTCGGGGAAAGGACAAAATACTGGGAGAAATGACTGGAACTGGGGGCATTTTGGGGGTGAGGTAGAAACCTAGTGCAATGGAAAGTCCATGAATTTTATAAGAGTAACTCTACCAAAGATTCCTAGTAATGGGGGGCACAGAATCTGAATTATCCATCTTCTGTAACCAGGCAAGGCCTCAAGTGGAGGGACTGGGACCCCAACCCAGCCACAAACTTTCAGTCTACAGTTTGTCCTGCCTGCAGAGTGCTCTGGGACCAGAGCCTAGCAGAATCCTCATCCAAGAGACCAGAAAGATTTCATCTAGCAACTGATGGGAGCAGATGAAGAGTCCCAGAGCCAAACAATAGGCAGATCTTGGGGAGTCCTGTGGAGGAGGGGAAGAAAGGATCAGAGGAACCAGAGGGGTCAGGGACACCACAAGAACACGGCCCACAGCATCAATTGACCAGGACTCATGGGGGCACACAGAGATCAGGAAGCCTGGAGGAGTCTGACCTAGGTCTTCTGCATATATGTTATGGCTGAGTAACTTGGTGTTCTTGTGGGATTTATGACAATGGGAGCAGAGGTAGTCGCTGACTCTGTTGCCTACTTGTGGGACCCTTTTCCTCTTGCTGGGTTGCCTCATCCTTGATGTGATGGTATGTGCCTGGTCTTTTTGTTGCCTGTTGTGCCATGTTTGGCTGATGTCCCTGGGAGGCTTGCCCTTTTCTGAGGGGAAATGGGGGGGGTGAATCTGGGAGAGAGGGTAGGGAGGGAAACTGTGGTCAGGATGTAACATGTGAGAGAAGAATGAGAGAGAGAGAGAGAGAGAGAGAGAGAGAGAGAGAGACAGACAGACAGACAGACAGACAGACAGACAGACAGACAGACACATGCACTGGCAGGGTAGTATGTTCTTTCTGCAAGCACTTCTGGAGTGGCCTCTCCATCAGATAGGATCATTTGTGTTTAATGGATGTATCAGCAGAGTAATCTGGGGAACATACAGATGCTCACATGGTTTTTCTGTCCCCTGAATCAGAATAGCCATTAGAAACTGACATTGATCATTTAACCTATTCAGACACTGACACTGTCACTTCATGTCTCAGCCAGATCTCCCTTGAGAAGAAACCATTAGCACTTTCTAGAAAAAAAAAAAAAGCACAGCAAATATTTTCAGCTTTGTAGACCCTAGAGTTTCTTCTGCAGATGTTTGTCGTTCATTCCTGGTGTTATGATATGAAAGCATCCAAGGCAGTACAAATGGACTGGCAGAGTTCTAGTAAAACTTCCAGAAACATGCTTTGGCTGACTTAATGTGAGCAAAATAATGAGTATGGAGACTTTAAGTGTGCTGATGTGGCCTGTCTTGTCTTCTGTGCTCCTGCCATCTTTCAGGACAGGAAAATGCCTGTGGTCTCCTTGGTGTAAGGAACATGGCAGACAGGGCAGACCTAGCTCTGATACAATTTGAAATCAAGGTGAGGGAGGCAGAATTGCTCAGCTGGGAATTGGAAGGCCTGTGAGCTTCAGAACAAATAAAGGTTGTTTTAAGTTTACATAATTTGTCTGTTCAACCAATAGTAGGATGCTGTTGACCTAATTGACAAAGAAGACATGCAAATATTTTCAAATCTTAAAGCATTGCTTTCTTTTCACAGCACGCTGAAGTTGATTCCTACAGAGGTTAAGATACTTTGCTGATTTGCCGATGCTGAGGAGACAAGCAGCCCAAACACTGAGCTAATGTCACCCAGTGACGTTATCTGGAAGAAAATAAGAGGGCTGTATAGATGCTTGACCCATTCTGTTCCGAATCCTAACAGTGTGACATATGGACTTAGTTCTTCCTGTTTTTTTTTTCTTCACATCCAGCAAATGTATTGAATAGAATTCAGATATAGACTTCCAAGACTCACACAGTTCCAAGATTTTCTAACACAAATTTACATTGGTACCAAAATGGGCAAGAGAATGAAGGCACAGGCTCACTTTGTATCAATAAAGGACACCAAACAGCCGTGAGGCACTAAGGACACAAGCCTAGAACATCAATCAAAAAAAGCAAGTATTCAAAGTCTTCAGTAACTTCTCTCCCTTTTACATTTGGCAAAATTCAGTCTAGATATTTTAATACCTCAGAAAGAAACAATAAATAAGAGATGGTACATTAAAATTTCAAGTTGCTTGTAATTAATTAGTCTTTAGAAATAAAGGATGAAACCAAAAGAGAACACAGGTTTCTTCTATAGCCTTGGATTACCCTTCCTTGCTAAAGGTCTTGTGTGTCCGTGCAGAAATGCCAGCTATAACTGAAGATTTAAGATAGTTGCTGACATGGTCCCTCAGTACTACTAAAAGATTGTTTCACAAAAACACAACTATCTTGGTTTCCACTGTAAGGCAAATTTGGTTATGTAAAGGTGACCCAAAGAAAGTTTAAAGGAAAAAACGGATTCTAGCTCCCCAGCAAGAAACAGATTATAGATTGAGACTGCAGTGGCAAAGCAATGAACTTGAGTTCTTCCTGTTTTAAACAGACTGTGTACAAAGTACACTTGAAAACTGAGGAAAAAGTGAAAGGAGAAAACTAAAATCTCACTCAGATAATCTTTGCTAGCTTCTGTTATAAATACAGTCTTTTAAGGAATTATTTTATAGTCACACACACACACACACACACACACACACACACACACACATGCTCCATTTAGCATTAGAGTTTTAATCCAGTTATTGTAATCTAAGCATTACCCTAACTCATTATAAAGGCCTGATAAAGGATCCATTTAAATCAGTCTTACATGGTTATTCCAGGTAACACCTTAATTGTTCCTTTTATTAAGTAGCAGGTTAATTTTCTGATTGAGACTATTATAGATATTTATTTTATTATTAAAATTTCAATGGCAAGTTTATTGAAAGGCTCCACATACGTGTACATGTACATGAATATAAAACTACCAGGTGAACACAGGGTCAAAGGTAAAACTTCACTAAGTTCTCTGGACCCACTCCTGATTTCAGCCTCCAGTCACTGTGCTCTTCCTCCAAGGCAACTACTAACTGACTTCCAGTGGTGCAGCTCAGCTTTCGCATTAGATGTCTGTGGTGTGGTTCATTTTTTTAAGCCTCTAACATGATACAAATGTATGAAGAGGACTTTTGTACCTGAGAGTGGGAAAGTAGAGAGCACTGACCAATGGAAGGAGAGAGAGTTCTGGGAAGTGAGTAGGACTGAAATGAGACCACACTGTGTTGGGGAAATCTTAGCAATCTGTTTTCAAATTCTGTTTCATCCTAAAACTGATCTTGGTCTAAATGCCGCCAGTCATGTGACAATTAGAAAGGTGAACACGTGAGTTTGAGCACAACTACCACCCAACTTTTTGTCCACATTCACGGCCAGAGCAAAACATGAATACCGGTGGATCCAGAAGCACAACCATAATCCTCCCACAGGGAGAGGTACCACTGGATGCAAGGCTGGAGTGCCCAGCACTGCAGCCACCCACTGTTTCTGTTCAGTGACCTCACCCCACCTTTGAGTAACCTGCTCATTTAGATTACTTCTCTTCAGTCTTACTCTAGAGTGAAGCACCCCAGGTCTTGGGGAACCCCGGTATGGGACCATAACTTCTGTAATTATCAATCTGGTATTTGCATAGTGCTGGACTTCTGGGGGTATAAACCTTACCTTCCTAAGAAGATGCCCAGATAATATACTTGTTTATGAAGAGGTGATGGGGAAATGCTAAATTTAATGATGTCTTTTGGGTAGAAAACAATTACTAATTTATAGCTAGTTTATGTGGTGGTCCACCATCTGGGAAGAAGTTTGGTTTATGGCTTCCTAGCCCATGGGTAATAACAAGACCATGGAGATTTACCTGCTGGTGTGGTAAGAGAGCAGGCTCCAGGTTCTGGGGAATGCTTTGGCATTGTGCTTAATAGCCTATCTTCATGGTTTCCTACTATAACTTTGTTTTCCTCTTTATTGACATTCTTTTCTAATGCAGCCACTTAGTAATATTGAGTACACCTGTTGCTTTTTATTTTACTCCCTCTTTTTTTCTGTCCAAACATCAATGTTTTATGACAGAGCAGCGTGGCTCAGTTAGGCTGAATCTCCCACTGACGAGGGTAGCATGCTTGTAAGACAGCAGCATAGGTTTAATGTGGGTTTTCTCTTTTGCCCTCTGCAGGTTGCTTCTCACTAGGGATGGTGGAGTTGGATGGAGACTCCTTCAATCCTCCTCCAGGATGAACCACCTGCCAGAAGACATGGAAAATACTCTGACTGGGAGCCAGAGCTCACACGCTTCTCTGCGGGACATCCATTCCATCAACCCTGCACAACTCATGGCCAGGATTGAGTCCTATGAAGGAAGGGAAAAGAAAGGCATATCGGATGTCAGGAGGACTTTCTGTCTGTTTGTCACCTTTGACCTCTTATTTGTAGCATTATTGTGGATAATAGAGTTAAATGTAAGTTGATTTTGTTCATAACTTCTTGTTTCCAGAGGTACAAAGGTTTCAATTTTTTTCTCATCATTTTGTCTTATTTAGTGGATTCCATCTTTTTTTTTTTTTCTTCAAATGATGCAATGTGTTGCCTGTCTCTAGCTGACTTAAGTTTTTTCTACTTTTTAGTGTTAGTGTGTGAAGTACACCTAGTGAACTTAAAATTCACTTCTGGGATTATAAAATTGGAATTCCTGGTGCTTTGCTTAATAATAATTTGTCCTGTGGGGCACATTCCGCTGTCTGTCTTTACAAAGCTTCCTGAGGACATGGCCTCCCTGCTCACTGTGCACAGGCTTACTTATCCATGTCAGCACTCGGCTTGAGTAGTTGAGCAAAACCTAGCTTAAAAGGCAAAAAGAATCATTTCCTGGGTCTTTTTAGATTAAAAACTTACCAGATATTCCTCTTAAAAACAAAAACCAAGTGGTTAGGAATACTGGCTGTTCTTCCAGAGGGCCCAGACTCTATTCTCAGCAACAACATGGTGGCTCACACATCTGTTAACACTGTTTCCAGGGATCTGATACCCTTTTCTAGCCTCTGAGAGCACCAGACACACACATGGTGCATGAACATATATTCAGGCAACAAAGCACCCATATACATAAGATAATTTTTAATATTAAAATATATGTGTAAAATGCTTCTGAAATATGCATTCCGTGTTATGTCTGCTTTTTAATTCCCTTGTTTAAGATTTTGCAAAAGAGATTTTTTTCTTCATATTTCATTGAACAAGTTCTAGAATAATTTGGAGAACTATGCAATTATGTTACCCAATAGTTACCTATGTCAGTACTATCAAATAGAAATATAATGCAAACTTTAACATATATTTTTAGATTCTCTGTTGTACATTAATAAAATTAAAATAAACAGGTGGAAGTTATTGTAATAATACATTTGTTTAACCCTGTTGTTTCTCAAAGCCTTGGGTCTGGTTGATTGTGTTCCCTACCACCTGGCCTGAGCCCTCCTGGAAGACCCTGCTCTGTGAAAACACTGTCTCCTTTTTTTGTCAGTGGTTCATTTTATTCCTCAGCCATTCTGGCCTGCTTTCAGACTGGGACAGGCTCCTGTCTATCTTAAGACTGCTGTAGTAATGGTTTTTTTCTGCATTAAATTACTGGTTTCCTGTATCTTCTTGGAGCTGGTGAGATCCTGTTGTGCTGGTATCGGTGTAAATGTCACCATTATTCTGTTACTCTCTTGTATGTGTGCGTTGTAATTCTTTGTTGTTGTCTTTTACACAATGGCAAGCTCCTGGAGACAGACATTGTTTTACTTACTGAAGTATTTCCTGTATTTGGAACAATGCCAGGCACTCAATAGGTTCCTGGCAGATACTTGGCGAATGCATGAAGATCACTGCTGTAATGGTGAGCAGCTGGATTAAGCTAGAGGCAGGTGGCAGCAAGAACACAGTCAGTAGCTGGTGAAGGAATGCCACTCGAGTGCCTAACTAGGAAGAAAGAGCTCATCTGAGAGGCACAGTCAGGAGGCAGTGGTAGACTTGTGGAAAGTCGATTTGTATCCACCCCAGTGTTTAGGAGCCCAGTATAGACACACTGTCCTTACCCAAGGTGCTTGGGCTCAGAAGTGCTTCAAACTCTGGAGTTTGCGGGTATTAGAATATTTATATACACATAGTAAGATAACTTGGGAATGAGACTCAGTGCAATGACAAGTTTATTTATTTATACTTTATTCACATAGTCTGATGGTCAGATTACACTCTTAGTGGACCTGAGGTTGAACTGAGACTCTTCCCCTGAGGTCAAGTGTGGAAGTTCCCACTTGCAGGGTGTGTGTACTTAGAAAGCTCAGATTTTGAAACAGTTCAGATTCACATGTGTGGATAAGGGATGCTCGGTTTATTCTAGAAAGATGATTAGGAAGGGATTTGGTCTGAGCTGTAACTGGTCTATTTGAGAACCCCTGAACCAAAGATTGTGAATTAAGGATATAAAGTACAAGTTTGGGTCTCAGATATAGACTGTAAGAACTCTGCTTATAGACAATAGAGAGTCAAGATACAGTGCACCCAAATAGGAAAGAAAAGCATTTCCCCCAGCCAGTGTGCACCCAGGAAACGGAAGCAGGAGGGAGATGTCTGTGCTAGAGAACCTTCTTTGCTTGGGCCACTGGAAGTAACTATTCTTTTGATATTCTGGGTGGCAACTTTCTGTAGTTGGCAGAGACACAGCGTGAGGCGAGGTGACTACTTGCATATGGTTTCTCTTTTCTTTTGCGCTTCTCTTGTGCAGATCGATAGCCAAGTAGGTCTGTAGCTAATGAACACTTGTCACTCAGAACCCTAAACTGCTCAAGACTTGTGATGCACAGAGTAGTGTTCATGTTTTGCCTCCATTCCTGTAGCAAATGCAAGTCAATGGAATAGCTAAGACCTCCCTTTCTATGTGACCATTTCTATTTCAAGGTGAACAGCTCTGGAAACTTGTGAAATGGTTCTTCATTCTTAGCCAGTTGCCTATTTAATTGTTCTATCCTGTGTTCAGACTATCTGTCTGTTAGGGGTGAAAATTTGTAATCAGAAACTTGAATTGACCAGGCTGAGCCACAGCCCAGGGCTATAGAGAGCCTTCCTGGGCTATATAAATGGCCTGGAGTATGACTCCTACTTGATTTTTTTTTAAAAAAAGTATTACTCTGCATAGTTTAATCTGTATAATTCTGGACTTGGTCATTTACAATTCATTTTGGTAGTATGAAGAACAAATAAGAAGGTTATCCTGTTGGATTTTATTATCCTTATTTGATGTAACTTTTATATATGATTGTAGATCAAATCTATTCTAGTTTTTAATATAAAAAATCTATAAGAGTGTCCAATTTTAAATGTCAAAAGCAAATTAAAACAAAACTAGCCACAGAAAATGTTGGCACATATGTTCTATGTCATGGCAACTGGCCTTGGGGATGATTGCTATAAGATCAGGGTCCCTGGCTCTTTCAAGAAATCTGTGAAGACAACTCAGACTGATAGAGTTTTTTTATTCCGTCTTTGAACATTTCTGGGTTCCAAGGAGGTATGCAGGGCAGCATGTCGAAGCCTCGCTGTTTGATTCTCACCCACTTCTCTCCGCGTTCTGCTTCTCCTAGGTGAATGGAGGCATCGAGAACACACTGAAGAGGGAAGTGATTCATTATGACTACTACTCCTCTTACTTTGATATATTTGTGAGTGTTTTTATATCTTGATCCAGATGGAATGAAACTGGCACCAAGAGGCAAGATCCCTTGAAACAGGCCATAGGTGCAATGCTGTTTTTCCTCCCTTTGAGCAGTGGTCGTGTTTCTTCTCTCTGATTTGCCTGCTCACTCAGTGTTCTCTGTCTCACTGAGGAGTGGATGGTACAAGAAACGAAACGGTAAATGAGAGACAAGGAAGGCCAGCGGAAGGAGCCCTCTCCACGCCCATCCTCTCCCTAGCTGCAGTAGACCACGCTGACAGGTCCTGGTCCCTGGGAGGAAGAGCTAGTCCCTCTCTCTGTTCTTTTCTATCGTCCTATTTATATGGATAAGAGGGACTTGATTTGAAACCTTGGCTGACAGGATCTAGGGCCGCCGTTCTACACTTCCACGTGGCGGTCTGGGACCCGAGCCTCTCTGGGCTGTCCGCCAGCTAAGTCAGAAAAACAGTAGGAAATTGAAGCTGATATATATATATATATGTATGTATATGTATATTACAGATTTTTATGTGTCTTTTCTTACCATTTCTCTCCTCAGCTTTTGGCAGTTTTTCGATTTAAAGTGCTGATACTTGGATATGCTGTATGCAGACTACGCCATTGGTGGGCAATAGCGGTAAGTGTGTGGCATCATGGGTCATCGCCAAGGCTGGTGGCCAGGGTGCTCACAGCAGACTCTAATGAGAGGAAACAGGATTTTAATGAGCTCTAATTTTGCCAGTGTTTTCTACATCCCCTTCTTCCGTCACTGTGGGAAGGCATCTCCTCCTCCCCCTCAGATAAGAGTGGATGGCAGTGCCTCCCACTGAGGTGTGTGGAAAATGCCCAGCTTTTGATGATAACCCCACCCCTACCCCGTGCCCTCAGTCCACCTGACGGTCTATATTAGTTACTTTTATTCTATATTAGTTACTTTTATTGAAGGGACGTAAGCAACGTGAGAAGGGAAGACTGTATTTTGCTCACAGTTTGAGGTATAGTCCATTTACAGGTGGGAAGGCATACGTGGAGTGTGAGGCCACTGGTCGCCTGGCTTCCATAGTCAGGAAGCAGAGAGATGAATGCTGGTGCTCAGCCCCCTTTCTCCTTTGTGTTCGGTGTTAGACCCCAGCCCACGGAACACTGCTGCCCACATTCAGAGTTGGTCTTCCTCCTTCCATACATCCTCACAGACATGCTCAGAGGTTTATCTGTTAAGGGATTGTAATCCCCAGCATGTCCTTAGTCATGTTAACCAACTGTCAAAGCAGGAAAAGCTATTGTTACTCTCGTCCTTTTGTTCCTTTGGGTTCTCCAGACTGGTGGACCACTGCCCAGGCTCGTTCCTTGCGTCTAGCACAGAGGCTGGGCACATTCTGTTCATTTTCAGTAAATACTAAGAAGCTGAATATTCTTAGTATATTCATTGAGTCATTGGCTGCCTGCATCATTTTTGCCATGTCCAGGGGTGTCCTGAATGCTGTTCATCCCTTCTCACAAACCTAGTGAGGCAGACAGACAGTTACAGAGCTGTTGAGCTCCTTATACTAGAGGGAGCTCAGGAGCAAGTTGACATCCAGCAGTAGCCGTCTCCACTGAGCTGGTACGAGAAGGAGCCACACGGCCCAGGAGATAGTCATCCAGAGTCATCCTCTGCCTGTGCCACCTTCCACATCACAGGTGCAGGTCAGACTTTCGGATGTATGGAGTCTCATTTTAGGATGTAACTGACCAATTCAGCAAGCCTGAGTCACATCTCTTTTGCTGACATCATGGTAGTTTTGATCATTACGCCTTTCTGTTTTCCCATAACATTCTGCATTTGGGGCATTCTGTTCCACAGTTTCCATTAGACTCATGTTTGCAAGACTATCCATTTCGGCATGTGTTGTGGAAGAGCTTTGCCCAGATATGTGCAGGGAGTCCCAATAAAGTACCTGCTTTCATTTTCAAATCGATTTCAGCTTAGATTCGAATGGTACTGTGTTACATCTCAGATAGTGTAAATAAGGAATGGTCAAATCCTATTTTTGTTTCTGATTATTTGATATATTTGCAGGAAGGGGAAATCAGCTTAGTCACCTAAGAGCAATTGGTATCAGTCTTTAAAGTAAATTACTGTCTGATACAGAAATGTTTTCTCCCAGTGAATTACTTTGGTGTGTGTATCTGCTTCGTACTTAGAGACAAACAGTGCGTCCTGGCCTCCATCCTGCCAGTCATTTTAGTCATTTCTGCCATTCACTGTCCTTAGGCTCCACCGGGCTAAAGTCTCAGTTGGAAGAGGGAGCAACGGTGCACAGCATGATGGGATTGCTCTGACATTCACAACCCTGGGGAGAGCCCTGTCCGTGCATGTCACCTTTCTCTTCTCAAGTGTGTTAGAGTTGTACCTTGTGCTGACAGAAGTTTCCCAACACATTAGTTGGGAAGTTCTACAGTTCAAGAGAAGGAATGTTGTATACAGCCTCCCAGACTGTGTGCCACAGAAAACCCATTTTCCCCAGAGTGGGTGTGTGGGAGAGCACAGATAACGTGGAAAGTAGCCAGGCGGGGCAGTTTGCTCAGGTGCCCTCACAGTGTGACATGTCACAGTGTGAAATGTCCTGTTTGAGGAGTGTTGTGTTATGTGTCTTGCAGTTGACCACAGCAGTGACCAGTGCCTTTTTATTAGCAAAAGTGATCCTCTCAAAGGTATGTGTGGCTCTCCTTCCCTGCCCTGTTGCCTGTGCCATGATGAAGCCCTCCTTCCCGTGGGAGCTGGTGGTGACAACTTTCCCTCAACACCTCTTCTTCTCCAGCTTTTCTCTCAAGGGGCATTTGGCTATGTGCTGCCCATCATTTCCTTCATCCTCGCCTGGATTGAGACGTGGTTCCTGGATTTCAAAGTGTTGCCTCAAGAGGCAGAAGAAGAAAACAGTAAGTTTTTATTTTTGTTTTTCACTTTCAGCCTCCCAGGCTTACACATACCACACTGCAGGGAACTGATGTGGCTTCTTACTATGAGGGAAGCTTCAGAGACCAAAGTGAGGCAGTTAGGCACTTGTCCTCAGTGGCTCTGTCACAACTGAGGGGAGCGTGGGTGGATAGGTGAGTGTGTAGTGACAAAGTGGCTCCTCTTTCTGACTGCTGGACCAGGCTCCCCCTAGAAGGTGTGGCCTCTGGTCGAACAGACATTCATAAAATAACAGAGAGTAGCCACTACTTCCTTCTCCCTGTCAGGCTTGATCTTTTCTCACTATAATGATCCTCATAGGTCCCTAAGCATCTGTACAGAACAGAACTGTGCCTTTCTGGGGCAGAGATGGCAAACCCATTTTAAGTGAATGGAAGAAGCAGTTTTGAAGAAGTGGCTCTGCAAAGCGCCGTATCACAGTGTATACAGCAGGTGTAGGATGGGTACAAATAGAGCAGACAGGTGATTACAGTGTATACAGCAGGCTTGGATGGGTCACAAATAGAGAAGATAGGTGATCCCAGTATATACAGCAGGCTTAGGATGGGTCACAAATAGAGCAGACAGTTAGGTGATCACAGTGTATACAGCAGGCTTAGGATGGGTCACAAATAGAGCAGACAGTTAGGTGATCACAGTGTATACAGCAGGCTTGGATGGGTCACAAATAGAGCAGACAGTTAGGTGATCACTATGTATACAGCAGGCTTAGATGGGTCACAAATAGAGCAGACAGGTGATTACAGTATATACAGCAGGCTTGGTTGGGTCACAAATAGAGCAGACAGTTAGGTGCCTGGCATGGGACCATGGTGGTCCATTTGGAGTTTAGAGTAGAACTCCAGCTATAGCAGAGCCCTGCCCTTGCAGCCGGCCACTGTCCTCCTTGGAGTGGCTGGGTGACATCTGGCACCATATTCTTCTAAGATCTGACAAAGTTATTACATAAGCACATGGTCTCCAGTGAACTGGGGTGTTGAGGAAGGTCAAATGGTCCATTGAGAGCTGTGTGGTTGGTTACTGGCCTGGGTTCTTCTCTGTTGAAACATTTAGTGGAGACACAGTGCTACCCGCCCCTCTGGGAGGGAAATGGATCAGAACTCAGTTTAGCTAGGCATGCTGCTTCAGATGTATCCCTGTTGGACCCTTTCCCAGCATCTGGCTCAATTTGCCCTAACAGGAAAAAAATCTTGTATTTTATAGAAAGTTAAACATAATTATAGCTCCAAAAGCAACAGGATCAAGAATCGCTTCACATTTGAAATTTGATTTGAAAAATTTCCTTAACAGAGAACTGAAAAAAGAATTTGAATTCAAGAGTGAATTTACAGAGCATACTAACAGTGATCCAAGACTCTTTTGCCATTCTGTGTCCTTCCAGCATAGAAGGAGAGTGTCAAGTTAGTGTAGGGAGGCCACATTTTATTATCTATAAACATCAAACGGAACATTGTTGAGAACATGTCAAGTGTCCACATAGCTGAGGTTTGAATGGTTATGTGAGTAAGGCTGTTTCCCAGTATGTAACAAAGGCTGGAGAGGTGGCTGTGAGTAAGGATGCCTGCTGCCAAGTCTGATGGCCGGAATTCAGTCCCCAGAACCCGTGGTGGAAGGAGGGAACCGACTCTCACAGATTGGCTTCTGATCGTACACTGTGGCACATGCTCACCCCCACACAGGCACACACGCAAAAATAAACATGAAAAAAAATTTAGAGACGTGAACATTAAGCAAAGTCGCCCAATAAAAACCATGTTCTCCCTCACACATAGTTCTAGCCTATAGTGTATACATTTTATTATATATACATATATTTATTTGCACATATAAATGCATCTGTAGATACAGTATACCGTGCAGAAAGGTGAGCAGGAAAGGTAGTGTGGAGTGCTGAGAAAGGACAGCACAGTAAGGACACAGCACTGGTTTTAGCTACCTTTTTAAAACAGTTCCAGTTGGATAAATGTAAAATGTAACCGATACAGAAAGAAAGAAGTTCATAGAGAGGTACAGAGTTCAGGGCTGGGCATGTGTTTCTTGGGTGGCTACACTCATCTGCTGCATGATGTTTTGATTTGTGAGTTTATTGCAGTAAAGTTATTTTTATGTTAAAAAATGAGAACAGATTTCATGAAGTTTAAAGCAGCATTTGCCTTCACTGTAGTGGCACCCAGGACACGTACCTGGTATCTGCTGTGTCGCCAGGTACTTGCTACCACAGTTCTTAACACTGACACTGATTTAAGCAAAAAAGCCTCAAAGATGGACAGTCTTCCTCCTCATATGAGGTTCTGTCACTCCTCTTTCTGCTTTTTGAAACCGTATTTTTCTTTGAGAAAATTTAAATAGACACCAGGGCGGGAGAGGTAGCTCCACTGTTAAGAGTGTGACCTGCTCTTACAGAGAACCTGAGTTTGGTTCCCAGTACCCAAATAGGGTGGCTCACAACTGACTGTAACTCCTGCTTCTAGGGACCAGATGCCCTCTTCTGGGTCTGTGAATACCTGCACCCACATGAGCATACTCCAACAGACATAGATACACAGGCATCCTGTAGCACGTGCATGCACATACTCACATAGTTTAAAAAATATTTAAAAGTAAAATAAATAACAATTTTTTATCTGCAGCACTCTAAAAGGCCATGTAGGCATTACATTTGGCATCTGCTGTTTCCCTAACCAAGTCTAGGTGGTAGACCATTTGTCCATGCAGACTCAGTTTTGATTTCACTTAGTGTTTGGTTTTGAAGTTGGTTTTGATGTTTGTGGTGGAATGAGACTACTCAAGGGATTGAAGCTTTGAATAGTGAGCCCAGGAGTAATTGGAAATGATTACTAAAACTATTTGTTTTCTGTTTTTCTTTAATCTTCACAGGGCTGATGTGTAGTTTATTAATGAAATCTTTATTTGATGGTTGAAAGATTTCAAAGTACCTTGTTTTGCTAATAGTTTATTTGAAGTATTGAAATGCCATTATTACAACAGTTAATCTTGCCAGGAAGATACCAGGAAGGCTGTGTGGTTCTTAGCCTCTGCATTTCTTCTCTCCCAGGACTCCTGCTAGTTCAGGATGCATCGGAGAGGGCAGTCCTCATCCCTGCAGGACTTTCTGATGGTCAGTTCTACTCCCCGCCTGAGTCTGAAGCAGGTAAAGCAATCGCTTACATTTGTGTTTGTCTGTCTTGAAGCCTCTCCATTTTCCCTCTCCTGCCCTGTCTATTTCCCAGGCTGTTCAGCAGATACTGAGCATGCCATGATGTAGAACTGAGTAGGAGAGTCTCCCAGGAGACGAGTGAGACAGTTCTAAAGACAGAAGTCCTGGAATGGCATGGATACTGGAACTTGTGATGTATGTCCCAGAAAAAAGGAAGAAGGGAGCAGACTCGATTCTGTCCTCATCCTTCCATCCCCAAACCAGCCTTCCTCTAGGATTGCTCCTGGCTGAGAGAGGCAGCTCCATCTAAGTGCTCCCTTCAGGACGTGTCTCAAGACCACCTCCCTCTCCCATGGCTGATGCCTCATCATCCATAGGCTTTTGATTACCCTGTGTTCTTCGGCCTGCATCCTCTGCTTCAAGTCACACCATCTGTACCAGTTCCAACCAGATACCATTTCTTGGTTTACTGTCTGTCACTTCCGCTCTGCACAGCTACTCAATAACCAGCTGCCAGAGTGCTCTTAAAAACAACAGTGCACTTAACTATAGCAGCAGCAACAGGTCCTGACCAAAAATGCACAAAGTTCTAGAATAAACATTTTCCTAGGGAGGTATGCAGAAAGCCACTTCTATGTGGAAGCATGCCAACACCAATAATCTTTGGGAAAAATACAAGCAAAAACCATGCTAAGGTATCACTGTACCCTGTTAATGTAATATTATTTTTAAAAATCCCCTCCTTTGGTGAGGACATGGAATAAGTCAAATCTGTATGTCCCAACAGTTGAGAAGACAAAACAGCGCAGCCCCATAGAAAACAGCATGGTGTTTGCCGACAAAATTCAACATATAATTATGATATCACTCAACAGTTGCTTCTCTGGCTGTCTGACCAAGAGAAAGGAAAACAAACTCAAGAGACACAGTGAGCCCCTGTAATCACAGCAGCATTGTATACAGTAGCTATCAACAGGTGAACACAAAATTTGACATATTCACCCAGTGGGCCATACTATAGCTTTAAAAAGGAATTAAATTCTGACCCATGCCACAATATCTGTGAACCTTGAGCAGAATATATGAAATAAAATAAGCCAGATGCAAAAATCTAACACTTGCATGATTCCCATTACTAAGGTTACCAGTGAGGTCAGATACCAAGAGTCAGTAAAATAGTGGTTGCCCAGGATGGAGGAAGTTGTGCCGATGAATCCCATTGATGGGTGCAAAGTAATGTGAACCTTAATACCACTGCATGGAACACTTCAAAATGGTTAAAATGCTATAGTGGGTGAGGTAAAAAATGTGTAAAATGTTTGATTTTATTTACATTTATTTTGATACAATATAAAACATGTTTTTAAGTTGCTAGAACTTTATAGGCAAGTACCGGGTACCAGGGATCTGCTGGTGTTCACTCATTCACATATTATAACCACTCTGTGAGGTGAGCTTATTGTAGCAGTGTAGAGAAGAGCAGGATCAGGCACGGAACAGATGTGTGCCAGCGTCACAGTGAGCGGTGGTGCTGGGCCCAGTGCTGGCTCCAGTGTGAGAGTCCATGCTCACGCCTGCATGCTTACAGCTGTCCATGTCAGTGGAAGTGCCAGAGTAGCTGGGCCAAAAGCTCCCTGCCCAAAGCCTTTAGTGGCCTGGCCAACATCGCCTCTGTTGGCCCCTCTCACTCCCTGGTCCACCTCTCACCCGCCTTCTTTCTCTTCTTAACTTTCCAGAAAAGGTTGGCTCCGAAGCCTGCAAACCATCATGCATCTTGATGCTTCTGTTCTGAACATTGTAGCTCTAGCTAAAGCTCCAAGAACCTCCACTCAGCCTTCCCCGCCTGCCCACCCTCCTGCTCTCTTGGGTAGGGTACCCTTGGACCTCTAGCTCCTGTCTACAGCCCTCCACCCTGTGCCCTCTGTCCTGTCTCTAGCAGTCAGTTAGTCTGCCTCTGCCTCTGTGATGTTACTTGAGCTAGAGGCTACATTGTTGTGGTGGCAACGTTAGATAGAAGGACCATTTTAAATTCTACTAACGGGCAGAAAGGATTACGGAAGTAACGGAAGGTGCAGCCCCGTGTAGTGTTAACTAAAGGAACTTGCAGTTATTTACATTGTGGATTATTGGTGTGGGATCTAAGACAGCCTGAAATAGAAAAATCGTAGGCCCTATGAAGTACAGGTGTATGTTGGTATCAGATCGAAGCTGTAGAAAATAGAATTAAAGGTGAAACATTTTTCTGCTTAATAATGAGTATTTGATTCAGGTATTTTATGTCATAGGACTTGTTTGAAAAATGAGATTTATAATCTAATTCAAATGTAACTATTTTAGCTTAGTTTCCCCATGCTGATGCAGTTTCTCAATACCAGTTTGTTTTCTTAACAAGGAGCTCAGATCAGTAGGGCAATAATACCATGAAGCAGTTGTTTGTTCCCTTTCAATCTTTCCAGACCAACGTGGGGCCTGTCTGTGATGTCTGCCACCACCTAGTGGTCTTCTGGGGGAACTACACTGGGTTATGATGACAGTGAGACCAGCAACAATTCTGTAATGTTCCTTCAGGTGGCTGCTGTATTTACACAAGATGCGCATTAGTAGTGGTGAACGGTGGATACTCAAAGGGCTTGCTTTCTTGTGTTACATTTATTATCTGAATTTTCAATTTGGAAAACAGTAAAATTACTGCAGAAGTTAATGTGCTGGAACTGTTCCCTCCTGTAGCTCTCACAGCGCTGAGAGCGAGCAGTATTGCTTGCCCACAGAGACTGGTGTGTCGGAGACTGGGCTGCCTGCTTGCCTTGGTTCCCAGCACCCAAACTACGACCATACTTTTATATAACACAGTCTGATCACACTCCCTCCTCCCCAGTCTTATGTCTTTTTGCTTGGTTGTGTGACCTTCTGGTTTTTCCCAGAGTGCTTGTGAGTGCAGGTGTGACAGCAGGGGCATGGGGACTTCACCAGGGGCCACACTACTGAAGACAGTGACTACCCCTTCCCCAGTAGCCACCAACATTCAGTAGCTCCCCAGGGAGGAGCAGGGCCCCGAGCCTCCCCATTCATGCTTGACTGTTGACCTTCCCAGTCTTGTGCAGGCGGCTGCAGCTGCTGTGAGTTCATTTTTGGATCATCCATATCACATCCGTCAGGTAGTCATTCCTGTCCCCTTGCCTGCCGTGGCTCTCATAATCATTCTGCCCCTTACCCGCCATGGTCTCTGAGCCTTGGATGTCCTTGGTAGAACTTAGCACTCAGAACTCTAATTCTCAGCACCCCTCGCAGCCGTGAGATCTCCATTTACCTCTGTGGGCGGCCAAAGGAAGCTTCTCTGACCAAGGCTGAAGCATTTGTCCCGGGCCAACAGTCTTCAGGCCCACTGCCATGCGGTGCCTGTCCTGTGCTCTTCTCAGCATTATGTTTTAACAACTAAGCCTAGTTTATGGGTTTGCTCTTTTGAGGAAAGTGTATTTGTAGACATGTCTAAGGTCTCGTTACCTTCACTCTGGGTCATAAAGGAATTTACCTGTGGTTTCTGTCTAGAAGTTTCAATTAAGATTTGGGTATCTTCATTTGTTTGGTTTTGCATTTTTTTAGGATTATGATATATTAATTACTTTTCATCTATAGAAGAAATAAAGGACTACATGTACATTCTTTTGATGTTGGCTATCTGTCCATTTGTCCATGAAACAGTTAATAAAACAGTGACTCCCCACTGAACCCACTTGACATTTGTTAAGAGTCATTTGCTGTAAGTATGCTAAGTCAGTTATTTCTCTGACTCCTTTTGGATTGGTTTACCACATTCTCTTTCTCCTTTTTAAAGAGAGTCACTTAGTTTTGCTTGGTTGACTCGAGACCTTTCTTACTGTCTGAGACGGGCATTTAAAGCTGTAGTTTCTTTCCTGGTGTCCCATACATTCTGACCTGCTGATTTGCTGTGCTCCCTGGTTACCAACAGGCTGGTGAGGGGCCCTTTGTGTAGGTCCGTGTTCACACTTCTCCAGCCCATTAGATCGGGGAGGTGGTGGCTCTCAATGAACCCAGGAAAATTTGCTGGAATTTTCTCAAACATCTTCCTGGTCCCCGGCGTCCCCAGTGCACATGTCGGTGTCACCGGCCAGTGTCTGTCTCTGCTCAGTGTCCTGTGGTCTCTTCTGCTGTTGTCACTTCCTAGTGAAGCCAGATGCTCCTGCTGCCTGCTCTCGCTTTCCTGAATCCCTTCTCACAGATACTCCGACTCTTCAGCTTTCCCTTCTAGGACTTGTTTTCCCAGTCTCTGTTCAGTTTAACCTTTACCCTCGTTGACAGTCTCTGGCTGCTCTTCATCATGGCTTTTCTTTACTTTCTTAAGTTGATTCTGTGTCCTTTGACTATTTATTACTGCTGTTTTGATTTCTTCCTGCTTAGATAGGGTATTTGGAGGCACACAGAGAGCTTGTTTTGACTTTTTGTCTGTCTTTTTCAGAAGGATCGCATTAGCCTGTTGTGTTTTTTAAATAACACTTCCTATAATTTCTGTTGCATTTTGTTGACTTTATAGTATTGCAGTTCTAAATTTGTAATTTTTTTCCCTTTCTCGAAAGGACAGCTTTGTTCACTTAGTAAATTAACCATGAAATTACACTATGTGGAATAATGCTTCTTCTCTTGTATGTGTTTTGTTTCCCTTTTCTGAAAAACTTGATTTTAAACTTGTCTGAGTTTTAAGAAACTTGTGTTTATTCTTTGAAGACTTCCTGTGTCTAAGATGTAGCCTCCCTCCCTCCCTCCCTCTGTGAGTACCTCCAGCACATCTGCTTCGCAGCTTGACCTTCTCTTTTCTCTTCAGTCCACTGAGTCCAGTTAGTGCTGTGCATTTGGACAGGGTGTTGGGGTGTGGAGTAATCTGTCGGGGCATGGACAGCCTACCAGTGGACAGTCAACCCCCTAATAAGCGGCTCTCCCTGCCCCAGAAGCCACCTACTGCCAGATGCTCCCCCACTAGGGTGGGCCCTTAGGTGCCCTCCTCCTTCCACACTGGCATTTTCACTTGCTTGATCTTGTGCGGGTAGCAGCAGCTGCTGTGAGTTCATGTGTGTGAAAGGTCATGCCTAGTGGACAGAATTTCACAGCACTCCTCCCTAGCCTCTGACTCTTACATTCTCCATTTCTTTTTGAAGCCTCACTTCCCAGAAGTCTCTGGACTCCGCCATGTTTGGTGGTATCCAGTGACTAGGCAGCAGTCAGGCTCAAGCCCCTGCACTAGCCCCTCTCCTCTGCCAAGTGGCAGAATGGAGCTGTCTGTAGAAGACCCAAGACAGAAACCCTCATTCATGCCATTGGCCAGGCAGCTGTCAGTTGAGCCTGAGAGCAGGAATGCGGTTTGAACATCCTTCTGCGCATGCCCCCCGCCCCCACATTGAAAGGTAATAGCCCACCCAGAGGCTCCATCAAATACAGTAAGCACTTGGTAAGCTGGAGGTGAAGCCTCAGCATTTTACCTTTATCTAGTCACTCCAAATTCACCTGAAATGGTTAACATTCGCGAGGTTAAAATGTGAGGCACAATCCTAAGATTCTCCACCATGCCTTCCCCTGTACCATGCTTGATCTCTGCTTTATTGAGTAGAAGTCTCTGAAGACACCCTTGAGAGCACATCATCTTACAATTACTGCAGTCCACAAGACTACCACCTCCTTACCTGAGCCTTACTTTCCTCATTTTCCTTCTTAAAATCCCTCCTTGATTATGAGAATAATACACACTTCCATAAAAACTCAAAGCTGACCTGTCCATCAAACTACAGAGCAGTGTCGGAATTCACAGCTCATGGTGTTTTCTTCTAGTTGTATGTATGTGATTTCACTCCCCTGTGCCTGTATTTCCTACAGTAAAAGCAAGATTCTGTTTGTGGAGTTATGAATTAAACACTAGTTACTATCATTTGACTGTGGACATTTTGAAATATTCAAAATATGTGTTTTTGGTTATTTTCTATTATTTCTCCTTTGTATATATACATTTGACTTTTTAATTTTGACATATTCAAGTTTAGAGTGTGCAAACTTTATTTAACTATTTGTTATGAATTTGCTTTTACAATAATTTTCATGTTGTTATATGTTACATATAAATTAGCTTTAAATGAGTGCTAGTTATTTCACAGAAATATAACTCAGACAGGTAGCTCTGATTTCTGATCTTTAGAGAAAAAGTCTTGATGACAAATAGTATTTTTATTTAGTATTGATCCAAAGGAAGGAATTTCAGAGCTCGATGTCTTGTTCAATTGTAGAAAAACCTACAGCTGAAAATGATCTGTGCAGAAGAGCTAGTCAGTGGTCCCTGGGTATGTGGTCCTTCCTTCAGCATTCGGAGCCGTCACTGTGCCCAGTTCAGCCTGTGCAGTGGTTTTTAAATACACCTACATTAAATACGATTTCCACTTAGGAATGTATTCACAGTGGGGCTGGAGAGATTCCTCACTGGCTGCCATTCCATGCCTGGATTCAATTTCCAATAGAGCAGCTCACAGCTGTCTGCAGCTTCAGTTCTAGGAGCTCCAATATCCATGTTTAGGCATGCGTGTGCTGCACAGACATACATGCAGACAAAACATCTATACATGCAAAATAAAGTTTAAAACTCACAAGTCTTAACAAAGAGGGAGATGAAAACTAGCAGCTGATAACTCTTGGTATGTGAGTTCCTTTGACTAGTATGTAAGTGAGTCCACTTCACCAAGCTATAGGTATAAGTGGTGTTTGAAGTTTCCTCCTACAGGACCGAAGGTCAGACTTTAAAATGGCAGTTTATTAATTCCAGTCTCTTGAAGATTAAACATGTATCTTTTACATAGAATTTTATGAATTTATGTCTACATTACAGTGAAGAAGTTTGTAATGTTAATACAATGAGACCCTGTTTTTCCTTTTCTTTTCCACCTCCTAGGTTCTGAAGAAGAAGCTGAGGAAAAACAGGACAGCGAGAAACCGCTTTTAGAACTATGAGTTCTGCTCTATGAAGTGAGTGTGCGTAAGTGAAATTGTATCAGCAAAGTGTTTAAATGTGGGCATTTCCTTTGGGTGGATTTGACAGAAGTGTCTCGGAGTGTGCAGCCAGGCAGGGCCAGGCTTGTTCTGCTTGTGTATGTGTAATAACTGCACCTTACTCAGGTCGAGGCCTTCACACTGTGTATGGGCTGGGAATGCATAGTTTGAAAGGTCCCCAGAGACCCACGTTTCTAAGAAAATGAGCATTAACTTAGCCAGAATGTCAATGCTGAGTGTTGGCTTGCTTCAAACAATTGTTACCTTATCATGTTTTGAGGTCAGTGATCCTGTGAGATACGGGATTGCTGTTACCTCCATGTCACACTTTTGGATGGAGAGGGTAGGTGAGGAGCTTGTCTGGGGTAGCACAGTATGAAATGGGGACCTGAGCTCAGGTCCACCTAGTTGTACCCCAGAGACTTCTGCAGTTTCCTACAGGAATGCATCTTCAGGGTGTTAGTGCTTCTGATAGGAAAGCTGTGAAGTCAGCATGGACATTGGTGAGTGTCTTCAAATGACATGGAAGTCATTTCAGCATCCTCCATGCAAGGACAGTAAGCAGCAGGTGAAGGGCAGCAGCACTTCTGGCCGTAGCCACCAGGGAAGAAGCAGTCAGACTGTGGTTCTTGAAACAAGGGCAGGCAGGCGGGCACATGGGTTGCTGGCTCAGGCCATACAAGAGAAGACCAGCCCTGTGTCCCCGTCAATGTTAGCACACAGCACGCCACAGCAGCTGAATACAAGAGGCAGAACTGTCAACATGAAATAGTCAGACTTCTTGTGAAGCCCTTTAAAATAAAGCTCTGCTGTCATGGTGTCCTTTATGAGTCTCTGCCACCTGCAGTACAGACTTGGGAAACTGGTAGGTAGCATATCACTGGGGTCCAACCACTACTCAATATTTGTCTCCACTCTTTCTCTAAGTGTGAAGAACCCTCACTGCAAGTCATCCAGGTGGAGCTGGGTTTCCCCTGACAGGAAATGGTGGATCTGCTCACTGCTGGGTGTTGATGAGCTAAGGAATTTATTTATGGCGATACCTCATGGACATTGCTCCACCTCCACTTACATCATCCCTGCCTGCGGCCATTGGGTCGTGCTGTGGTCCTTCCTCTCTTCTGTGAGTCTCCGTCTGACCTGATAATGAATAACTCAGTTTTGTGCTGCATCCGAATCAAAAGACTGCTTAATATATTGAAATAACAATTTTGTAGTGAGTGAGATACATTTTTATTTCAATTCACAGAATGTATTTTTTTTGTTTCATGTCTCAGATTTCTTTTGTATTTCTTTTTTAACTCCTTACATTTCACTTGTGTTTTTAAACTCATGCACATGTGCTCTTTATACAATTTTAAAATAATAAATCCAACATATCAAATTGACTGTTTGCTTTATATATGTTATATATTTGGCCAGGAATGGTGGGGTTATAGAAGGAGGAGGGGCATAAAAACCATTGTCCTGCGTTTTGTATGGTTCTACTGGAATATCTTGTCCTGAGATCGGGGTCTCATAGCTTACCTCCAAGGCTACCTGCAAAGGGCGTGGATGCCTTTGCTGCCACTTTTCCTGGATGTCTACTTAGCTTGGATTAATATGAATTAATTTACATCACCAACTGTTTTTCCAAATTTACTTTCAGCTTCCCAGAGGGACAGAGTCTCCACCATTGACTGTCACTCTAGGAAAGTTAGCTGCATGCAGCCGTGATGCTGCCAGCTTGGGTGGAAAAAGATTCAGTGCAGATCAGTCCCGGATCTGCACTGTTCTGAAACTATGCCCACCTCAGCAGTACCACAAGGAAGGAGGCTGGGGTGCAACCAAGAAGGGCTACTCAGGGTTAGGGAGAGCAGAGGGAGCTCTCCGGGTCTGTTCTTGGGACAGGACCTCAGGAACTCGATGGAACAAACTCGCTGGCAATTTCGTGTGTCAGGAGTGGAGCAGTATATACTTCTAGTCACATGTCAGTGCCGAGAACACTGCTAGAGTGCTGGCCCGAGCCAGTAGATGTGGCCAGTCCTCTCTTGGGAACAGTGCAGCCAAGTGAAGAAGTTGACTGATGACAGACACTGGTGGACAGTGTATGTATGTGATTGTGAAACAGATCAGACACTGAGATCCTGGAGGCGGTATCTCAGCTGTAGTCATGCTTCCTCTGGGACAGGACAGATGAGCCCTGGGGCTTGGGTGTCAACTCTGCACTCAATCTGTTTGTTCTCTGGCTTTTCATTCCTGCATACTGCTATCCTACAGTTAGCCTTGCTGTGATGCCTCTGATCTCTCTCTCTCTCTCTCTCTCTCTCTCTCTCTCTCTCTCTCTCTCTC